GGGGGGGCGCGCATCGGGGATGAAAACATTACGCGGCCCAGGCCGGGCCGCCCCCGCCTCCACACACACACACAAGGGAGGTCCTCTTTCCCGTTTTTCCTTCCTCTCTCCCGCGCGTGAAAGGGAACGAGACGGAATTGCAGACCGAGAGGGGAAAGGGGGGGGGGAGGGAAGCAGCACCGCTTGAGTGAAGCTAGGCAAAGCCCCGGGCGGGGCGGGCAGGCAGAGCTCTCCTGGGCGAGCGATGTCGCTAATAGCTCGCGGATGTTGTATTCTACTGTATTCAGCCAGCACTCGAATACACTCGACGGAGCGGTGTAGCACGGCGCCGGTGGAATGGGGCGGCATGGGGGTCGTGCAGCACAAAGGGGTGGCGTCGCCTCGCTCCGCCCCGCCCCGCCTGCATCATGCAGCATGTCGCTCCATTAGGAGCAGTCCCTGCCCTAGAGAACGTAGTAAAGAACCTAGCTGAGGTCTTCGGTTTCTAGCAAATAACAACAATAATGTGATTGGAAGGCAATGTGTTGTTCCCCGTACTTGATCAAAACGTCTAAATATGTCAATCTCAGATGTACAAAAGAAATCTTCTGTTCCTACTATTGACAGCGACTAAGTCGAAGAGGGGTCGAAAAGAGTCCATCATTTATTTTGATATGGTGTTCTCTGTTCTTCGTGTTCATGATGAACTAATATTCTGTCGGATAGTGCAAATAGAAAACATGTGAATCTGGCATCACAAAAACAGATCTCCACTATTTCCTGTACAATACAGTTTAACGAACGAACACATTTCAACCAACCAACCCTTCTTAACAGGTCCCTCTCTGCCCTTTACCCACCACCCTTCACTCCGGTCCCGGTAAAGCGGTGGGGGTGGGAACCCCAGTCGGCTGGTCCGCATTGCTGTCGACGACTTCAGGGTGCTGTTTAAATAGGGCTGTACAGGGTGGCCGGACGCACCACCAGCCCAAAGCGGGCCCTCTACACTGCAGAGGCCGACTCGTGTTAGTGGGGTGGAAAAGCACCGGATCCCATGCTATCCGAACTGTAAAGTTAGGCAGACGGTCCTCGTTTTTGGCGCAACACATGAGGGAGCACCCTTCACTGAGTGGCCGCTTCGATACGGATTTACTTGTCTGTAGGCGTGTGTGCGGCCGAGCACTTGTTCAATGAGGTCTTCGCCCTCAAACCATAGGAGGAAACGCTTCGCCTGTAAGTTAGTCGATCGTGACCTGGGTGTCTGAACCGCAGAGCTGAGGGCGTCCGCTTCGTGTCCGCAGGTACTGGGCGGTGACCAACATCGACTACATCCACCAGCGCACGGCGCGCCGCATCGGCCTCATGATCCTGGTCGTGTGGCTGGTGGCCTTCATGGTCTGCATCGCGCCCATGCTGGGCTGGAAGGACCCCGGCTGGGACGAGCGCGTCACGCTGGACCAGGAGTGCATGGTCTCGCAGGACATCGCGTACCAGATCTTCGCGACGGCCTCGTCCTTCTACCTGCCGCTGCTCGTCATCCTGGGCCTGTACTGGCGCATCTACCAGGCGGCCCGGCGCCGCATCCGCCGCCGCGTCCAGACCTCGGCGCCGGGCGTCGGCGGGAGGAGCGTGCCCGGCGGGGCCGCGGCGAAGAACCCGGCGCAGGGCGGCGTCGTGGCGGGTGAGTGTGCTGCGTGGGGTGGGCGGGCGGAGCGGGGCGCGGCGGGGAAGATCACCGGAAGGAACTCGCGGGGAGGGAAGAAGAGCCCTGTGATTGGGCGGATTCATATCGGTTCCGGTTGCGGTTCCGGTTGCGGTTCCGGCACAAGGCGCGAGGGGCGTATAGGCTCGGGCTCTCCTTTTGGATCTTCTTCTCTCACTGATGAGCCCTCCCGCTTTCTGGTTGCGTAGGGGCGGCGGGCGGCAGCGGCGGGCTCGCTGCGGCGGTGGTGGGCATGATCGGCAGGCCGCTGCCCACCATCTCGGAGGCCACCACGACCACCACGACCACCGCCTTCACCAACGTGTCCTCCAATAACACGTCACCGGAGAAGACGTCCTTCGCCAACGGCCTGGAGGCCGACCCACCCACGGCGGACCAGCTGTCCTGTAGCCCGTACTCGGTGAGGCATGGTGTAGCAAGTTTTGTTGTTGTTGTTGTTGTTGTTTTCTATCGCTACGTGAGCGGGACTCCTGTCCGCCCCTTGTTTTGTGCAAGTGACCAATATCTGGCCGTTGTGCTGCAGGCGTCGCAGCACCACCACTACCCGAAGCGGAAGAAGGAGGCCATGGACTCGAAGCGGGAGCGGAAGGCGGCCAAGACGCTGGCCATCATCACGGGCGCCTTCGTCATGTGCTGGCTGCCCTTCTTCATCATGGCCATCCTGCAGCCCGTGTGCGACACGTGCTACTTCAACAAGGTCCTCGTGTCCCTCTTCCTCTGGCTGGGCTACTTCAACTCGACCCTCAACCCCATCATCTACACCATCTTCAGCCCCGAGTTCCGGCACGCGTTCAAGCGCCTGCTGTGCGGGCGCCGCGCCACGCTCCGCCGGCGCAACAACCGCCACCTCGCGGTGGGCGGGCGCGGCCGCCAGCTCTAGCAGTGGCCGGCCGGCCCGCACAGCGTGAGCGCCCCCAGCGAGGCGCCGAGCTCCACGCTGGGGCCCTAGAGGGCTCGCCCAGCAGGGCTCGCCGGGGAGCGCCCGCAGGTGACCGCATAGGCAACCACCACTGGCGGCCCTGCGGCCCTGCGCTGCGGGTCGGCCTACGCCGCAGGCGGCTTCCGCCTCTCAGCAGCTTAGCGCACCAGAGCGAGAGGTGCTGCTGGCTGCAGAATGACCTCAGTGTGCAGTGGGCGAGTGAGTGCCTTCACTTCAGCAGATAGACCAGAGATTCGGAACAGAAAATGAGGTCGTATACACATTTTGTGGGCGCCAGAGCTCCAAATTATCGGTTTTAAACTCCGACAGACGACTTTTTTTCATAGGAGTGAAAGACGAATTATGTGATGTGAGCGTGGTGTAACAGAGTGGGCGAAGCAAGAACAGTGTGTTTAACACGAATTTCAGGTGATAATTATTCAGATAAGAATAAGTGACTTTGTGTCTTTTCGAAATGTTTTCCTTACATTGAACCAAACTGTGTACATACTAAAAGAGAGAGTAAATATGTTGATAAATCACTGCAGATGCAATTTTTTAAATATAAAGTTCATACA